GTGCTAATCTAAAAAGCATATTGATGAGATCTTATGACGAAGAGCCAACAGCCATCATCGTCTTTTACACTTTTGATAACAAAATGTTGATGACAGATGAACTTGAAATTAAACCCATGGTAGTAGGAGGGGGTGGAGAAGTTTCTTCTGTGTGCATAATTCAGGCTTTTCTATCCAAATCGCTAAGGCTTCGGCAATACAAAGTATACGGAAGCTTGTCGATTTTGGAAGGCTTCTTTTGACTTTATAGATGACTTTGAATGACTTCTCCTTGCAAATCGAATGACCAGTGTTGAGTATATGCTCAATAATGGCGCTCCTTATTGCTCCATTGTTACCTTTCCGTAGCCAGACGGGATAGTGTACTTGAACTCTTTTAGATAAAACTCGCATCGTGAACTCTTTTAGATAAAACTCGCATCGTTCACCTGCTCTTGCGGAGCGAGTTATATAGGTCGTTCGGGTGACTCTAAAGAATAGCGGCCCAAACCGAAACGACCTTTCAACGCAAAAATGACCTTGACAGGGACAACTTCGGCCAATGAGAAGGCTCAAAATGGAAGGCGCATAATTGTAAAAAGCGGTTTATATATAAGTAATGCAATCATAATAAACAGTTACAAAGGATGGCGCTCGCGTATATGTCTCAAAAAAACCTCCCAGTTTCTCATGGGAGTCTTCATAGTCGTATGAAACCAGTTTTGGTACATAAATTCATCCAGGTAACTGTAAATCATGGGATTTCTCGATCCATTAACCGCTCTTATACGTCTTTTTAGACGACTCCTAAAACTTTCAATGGAACTGGTGTGGGTTCCATCTAAAGGATTCCGGAAACCGTCCGTATGATTAACAACATGATGAATGTACCCATGATTCGATAATTGACGGTATCCGCTCCATTCATCTGTATGAATAGTCGTCCCCGGCAACGCCAAACGCTTAATAATAGGCACTAATACTGCTGCACTGCGATTGGGAATCGCTTCTATATACCCTTTGCGCAGTGTCGTGTCGTAGATACCCCGTATCCACTACTGGTTTGCTTGTAATCTCCCACGGTTGTATTTCCTTTTTATAAGTACAGTCTCATCGATATGGACTATGCTGCCGACTCCTCCGAGAACTTGAGTCAGGGTGTTCATTTTCCAGGAGGAAACATCTCGGCAGTAGTTGTACCAGTGCACTGCTGACACCCCTGAATTTTCTGTTTCATAAGCTGTAGCTGTGACTGCTCTTTTCAGGACCCAGAAGTTACAGATCATTAAAACTTTCGTCAAAGGTAGTTTAGACCTTGAGAGAAAAGTTCCTAAGGGATCTGTAAACTAAAAAACAACGACAAACCTTCTCGAACCGATTTCTTCCTTCGGCACTCAATACATCTGTATACAAAGCCATCAATGGCTTCTGTCTATTTTTGTATATGCATAACTCCTCCGCATTGGCAAATTTTCGACAAGGCTATCAGTCCGTTATCCAAAAAGTAATCGAAAACATCAATGATTACATCCGAAAATCATACAGTCAGCTGATTCCTTGCTCAAGGTCACTTTTTTGTTCGAAGGTCGTTTCGGTTTGGGCCGCTATTCTTTAGAGTCACCGTCGTTCGATGCGAGTTTTATCTAAAAGAGTTCAAGTACACTATCCCGTCTGGCTACGGAAAGGTAACAATGGAGCAATAAGGAGCGCCATTATTGAGCATATACTCAACACTGGTCATTCGATTTGCAAGGAGAAGTCATTCAAAGTCATCTATAAAGTCAAAAGAAGCCTTCCAAAATCGACAAGCTTCCGTATACTTTGTATTGCCGAAGCCTTAGCGATTTGGATAGAAAAGCCTGAATTTTACACTTTTGTTTAAATAATTATCTGTCTCGGTCAATACCGATTTCAGCCACCTCATCTGGCAACCTCAAACCTCAAATAGAAATAGACCACTTTGCTATAAGTTATCTGTGAAGTATGTAAGCAGAAGACTGCCGCTCCTTGTGAAACACGTTCACAGAATACTTACAACACTTTAGATTATCATTTATAATGAATCCGCCACATCAATTAAAATAAATATAAGGTTTGCATATCATGAGAAATCATAGACTATCCTCACCTTAAAAGAATATGTTTTATTGAAATTGTATCACTTCAGATGAGTTGGTTGTCTAACGGTGAAACTATAAGCAACTATCATCATAGCATACTTAGATTGAGGGTTAAGCATTACATTCTTACTGTTGTCTACACTGATTATTCTACAGAAACATCTCAAGTATGCTATCTCAAAGAAAAATATAAGACTAGATATAAAAACAGTACACTTTTCAAAATTATGCAACTTCACATTGTCCACGATGAGGTTCTGTGTGGCAATGGAGGCACCTGTCTAACCAAAAAGATTTTTAAAATGTTGTACCTGATAACTGCCTTTAATAAACTTGTCAAAATTAACTTGTTTATTATTTCATGTATCTAAAGGAGATATCAATAGTAAGTGCTAAGAGGAAGTAGTGACTATTAGCATGCTTTGATGATGTATAGCACCAAGGTATAAATGAATCAAGTAACATAAAGTATTCAAAATTCCCATTGAAGAAATAAAGAACGCATAAGTCAGTAAAAAGACATCTTCTTGTAATTCCTTTCTCAAAGCTATACTGTTATTTAGGGGTTTATATGTTCAGTGTTAGTCGAAAACAAAGCTCAGAGATTAGTGTCAGTTATCAAAAAAAATAAATCATAGTGTATGATAAATGACAATGTGTGAAAAATAGTGAATAATCTTACATGATTGAGAGGGAGATAAAGAGTTGATAACTAATCATTTAAGCGATAAATAGTCAACTGGAATGACTGATAGGACAAAAGAGAACAAAGAGTTGAAAATAGGTTACAAAGAAGTGATAGAATGAAAGGACTATATAGGTTTTATTATACAACAAATAAAGAAAATAAAATTGACACGATGCCCAATGTAGTAGTAAAACGGGCTGGATAAATTGTTTCTGAACACACTTCTGGTTTTCCCTTATGGATTACTATAGCTTTTGCTTCATTTGCTGTGCATCGGTGGCACAGTGGTTAGGACTCTCGCCGACCATGCACATGGTCCCGGGTTCGAGCCCTCGCCGACGCACACCTGATATCTATGGTCGGCCTGCGAATTTCGGGTTACCGATATCCACGCTGAAAATTCCATACTTGTACCAAAAATACGGTGTGGAATCAAGCTGTAATCAAAAATAAAAAAATAAAAAATAAAAAAATGAAGAAACTGTTGAGAAAATCCTTTTAGAAAGACTTCAACGCACTTTATAATAATGACTTTGAGTGAAATCTCCAATGATAGATACTGCATGACCAGAAGCAACAATATACTCCAAAATTCTACTTTATGACCTCAGTGTCAGTTTTGTTATCTTTATTTGTTGCATAATAAAACCTATATAGTCCTTTCATTCTATCACTTCTTTGTAACCTATTTTCAACTCTTTGTTCTCTTTTGTCCTATCAGTCATTTCCAGTTGACTATTTATCGCTTAAATGATTAGTTATCAACTCTTTATCTCCCTCTCAATCATGTAAGATTATTCACTATTTTTCACACATTGTCATTTATCATACACTATGATTTATTTTTTTTGATAACTGACACTAATCTCTGAGCTTTGTTTTCGACTAACACTGAACATATAAACCCTTTTAATGAATCGATGGTTAGGAAGCATAATGCCCGCCAACCGCGTAAGAGGTCCGGGGTCCAATCCCCGACTGACTGACTGACTTATGCACCTCCCCAAGTTGATGATAAGGGCAATGAAGAAGGAAAGCTGAACGTTAAGCTACCAACCTCACTCCGTAAAAATAAACTACTACTGGTAGAACTTCAAAGCTTTAGCTTGAAGCCCAGTATTCCAATCGGAATATAAAAGAATACACTTAAAATAAATCATCGAAGCACCGCATCCTCAAAACAGCAGAGGCCGTTGCAATTCGCCTCAAACAACCAGTGCTCTGTGTACAAAAGAAGCAAGTCCAGCCCCTACTACTGCCATGGCCAGCCTTCAGTAGAGACTATAAATTCATGAATTTGTAATATTATCTTTCTTAATTTTTCTGGCATTCAGCTTATTTTATGTTGATGCTATTCAGCTGTAATCTATCAATATTATTGATTCGATGTTATTTAAACAGCATTAATGTTGTTCATAACACTAATTCATTCATTCACTATAATGTATAAATAACTGTTGAGCCTGTTGAAGAAGGAGATATTGAAAAGAGTACTCTTTGTTCAGTATCCATTCTTTTAAAATAAGTCAGATAACACATAAATCCTTAAGTAACCGTACAGCTTTTAACAAATAGTTACATATAGATATCCTTTGTTGACTTATCGGTTCTTAAGTAAGCTAAGAACAAACGTATTCATATCACACAATATTGAATTTTTGCATGTCATTACAAATTTCAAAGTAAAAGTAATCCATGAAAGTAATATAAGACATCAATTGAAATGCATAACATTTTACTAGTTTTCGTTTTTTTTCTTTTAATAAATACAAAAAGGGTGTCCGAAAAAGATAAAAGTGTTGAACAGATTAATGTATTCACCACCTGAAGGTAGAATGAACATGTAATTACCGCTGATTTCATTCTACAAACTATTCAGGGAATGATATGTAATAGGTATATATATATGTATATGTATATGTATTTGTGCGTATATCTGCCTAACATATTGTGTTATGAGTGCATAAAAAATAATAGTAGTTTTAATGTGAAATATAATGTACAATTAATAATGACATGAACGCCAAGAACAAAATGGACAAAAAATTAGTTGTTTTAATACACTGACAAGAAAAAGAAGACCAAAAAGAAAGAAAAATGCCAATCTATTCATCATATATGCGTAGAAGATAAATACTTTAAATTTCCTTTCTTTTGACAATATTCACTTGTCACCCATTTGTTTATTGTCTCTATTGAATTTTGAACTGATTTTAAGCTCCATTTAAACGTTGTAATAATGGACCAGGTATTGGAATCACTTTATCAGTTGGTAGATTTTCAAAATCATTTGTAATAAACTTTGCTGTCTCCTTAGTTTGAGTTACTAAACCTTTTAAAGCTTCACAAACTTGATCAGCCATATATTCTAATTTCTTACCGGAAGAATTTGTATTCATAGTAGGTGTACTGGAATCACAACGACTGAAAATATCATCACCTTGACAAGAGGATGTAAGTATTTGTGATGGGGACACATTCTTTTCATTACAAATAGATGTTGTACAACGTACCAATTCACTGCATGACTGCATCACTAGTTTAGTCTGTCCAACAATTGAGTGTATAGATAAAATTCTCCGACAACTTTTATGACTAAAAGAATAACCTGTATAATTATCAGTTTGAAATTGCATCAAATAATTTAAATACTCATCAATAATTTTTAATGCATTTAAACACAGTTGAGATAATTTTTGAAAATCGGCATTTTGATATTTTTGAAGTTTGGTAAAGTCTGTTTGTTGACTAGTCGTAGAATTTGGTGATAAGGTGTCAATGAATTCATGTGATTTCGATAAGAATTTTGATTATCCAAATGGGATTGAGAAGAAGGAGGTATAGGAGGAAAAGTAATGGGACAGGTGTGCTCAGTTTAGGAATTGCTTTAGTCTCTACTTCTTCCACAGGAGAGGATATCTTACGAATTATTTCAGGAGATTTATTTATTGAATTGCTAAATAATATTCTAGAATTAGCTAAAATTGTTGTGTAGAATAGATTCACTTCAGTGAGTAGTTCCTGAATAGTTTGTTCCAATAAATTCTTATCATCCCCGTCTTCATAATTATCACCAAGAATTCCATTATAATCGCCTTCATTGTTAGAATTTTTTTTAATGCTAACACAATTGTCTTGTTTTATTTGTCTACCAGTAGATTGTGAAGCTTGTTTGTTTTGATACTGACTATCAAAGTTTGCGTTACAATTTTTAGAAATTTTGATGAAAATTTAGCTAAATTCTCCATATTTTGACGATATATTATAAACTTACGAGTTAAACCATTATCCAATGAGGATTGTTTAGAAAGACCAATCATTATTGTACATAACTGACTAAGAATTATAAATTCATTGTCCATTTGAGAAAATAATGAAGTTATTGAACATGTTGAACTGTATAATTTACTCTGATGTAATACTTTCATTAAAGTCAAGCATTTATCATGTATACGTCCTTGAATAGGTAACCAATAACCTGTAAATCTTTTACTGAATTAAATGTATTTGGAGTCAGTTCAATCGATGACTTATTATTATTATTGATTTTATTAGATTCGATAGGTGGATAAACAGTATTTGCTTTAAATCTTCTCGTATTTATACTGTCTAATAATTTCTCTTCTGTCTTAGACCAATTTAAATTTGATTTCATTTTGACGGAATTAAATTTCTTTTGTGAGCTTGGAGAATATTCTAAATCTTCCTTTAATTGTTGTTGTGACAATTCTATAATGGAATGTATTTCATTTCTGTTCTGTTATGATCCGGAGGACTGAGTTGTTCAGATTCTTGTTTTAGCAAATTAAATGTATCACGAAATTCATATGGTATGTTGGGCGGTAGATCCTAAAATTTAACAGAAATAAAAAAGAGGATTTTAGTGAAAGATTAAGTGTCTTAAGGATAGGTAAACAAATGAAAAATATCAATGACAAATGAAATTTTTCCGGCTGCATAGTTTTCTACTCTTACACAAAATGACGGTTAAATATTCGCCTCAATAACACTCAGTGTTTACATTCTGAGTAAACTGAGTGTTCAACCTACCGTTGTCATATTTATCAATGGGATGAAAGTAGAAAATGATTAAAATTGTCGTTTCAGTTATTAAGAACACCGCATACAGCGAAGAGACTCTTTTCAACGAATTTATTATCAAGCTGTACAATCGTATATTAATGGTTTCTTAGGAAATTGTATCCTGTGAGGGAATTGAATCATAGGTGTGAATACATGAAATAATAATAGTAGTATGAAATGCAATTAAAATATTTGTGATTATGATCATAGCTAAATGTCAGGTGGTAAAAAAATTATTGTCATATATAGAATAATTCATAAGATGTGCAGATGTTGGAAAGGAGTGTGTAATTATAGGGTTAGTTAGCTAATATAAAACGTTAAGTAACATGGTGTGAAATTTGAGAAGATAGGATTTAACATTGTTATTGATGAAAGTTTTATGATAAAGTTAAATATGAATTTTCCTACATATAGGTTACTTTAACAGTAAGCTACAGAGGTCAGTAACATCATTCAAAATAATAACTGAAGTAGTTTTAGTCTGTTTTAGAATATATGCTTCTCTTGGGTTATAAAATCGGCTGACTAATGCGTTCCTTGTATATCTTTAATTCATGATTTAATATATTTTCAGTCTATCCCTTTAGATGGGCCATTGGATTCTGTGCCATTAAATAAGTGTCTAAAAGCTCACCTTGCAACCTCAGAGTCCTGATCAGGTCCTTGGTGGAGTGTTGGTGAGAACTGCTAGAGATACTCATCCCCAAAAGAAACAGCTAAGCAGTTTTTCCTGATTCTCAATGGTCCTTTAACTGACGTCATTCAGTGATCGAACTTGAAAGCATTCAAATCCCTGAAAGCCAACACTTGGAAATGTCATTATAGCGGAGAGGAACAGAATTATTTCAGATTAAGATCTTATAAAAATATCATTGTTTGCACAGCATCCAGATAGCTTAGTTTCATGACCCCATTAATTTGACACCGTCATTTCTTTATTACTATATAAAAAGGTATAATTCCAAACAAAAATATCTGACAGATTTTTTGGCATTAATAACGACTGAAAATCTGGACGTATTATTGTGTAAAAGGTCATAAAAGGCATAAGTAGAATCCAAGATGACATATGTGAGTAGTTGGAAACACCCTTTGTCCACTGGTAGTGACTTCTGGATAGCTCAAAGTATCTAAACACTAGATGGCAGTTTCGACCGTTTGAAACTGAGCTCATGAGCATTGTGACCGGTTTGTCTCAGCTTACAAAGCCGGATAGATTCAAATCACTGTAGGTTGAAACTGGAGGTCTGTAAACGCTAATATCAGTCATTACTATATAACAATATGTATTTATGCTTGCTTTCCTGATTGCTATTTACAGTATAAAAAAGCAGATTACATAATGGGATGTCAATATTTTGTGTTTCCAAAAGGAACCATGGTGAATTTTCACCTTATACTGCGTACTTTTCAGATTGCAATTTCAATTCTATAAATAAAATTTTATAAGGAAGAGTTTGTGGAGAAAGCTACTGAAAACAATTATTTAATTAAATCCATTTTGTTTCTACCGTGAAACGGGAATTTTTAAACTACTCAAAGTAAATGTGATATTGGAACATACAGGCTTGTGATTAGAATTTTTTTTAATTGTTAACAAGTTCACTGAGGTACGAAGAAGATGAATGACCTTATAGTTATAATTTGAAAAGATACATTTTTAAGTATCTTCACTAATAGACGACAAGATGACTTTCCAGGAGTACAGTGAATTTAGTTATAATGCTTGATGATGCTTAGTTCAGTGTAGAGTTGTGAGATTTTTCAGTACTATATGCGTTCAAAGAGAAAATTAACAAAAGCAATTAAGTCAATATATGTAATGAAAAATGTCTCGCTTTTATATTGGGACTGAGTGAGTTTGGTTTTCACGCATATTTTTCTTCCTATTTTGTATATGATTTAAGAAGAATCTAAGTCGAAAGGCTGAAATTCTTCTTAATACTTATTCTAAGAGACAGTGATCTCATGAATTATTAATATTATTGTTGGAACAGTTGATTCATAACCATAATTTGAACAATACCAATCAACTCATCAGTTGGATATACGCCCATGATAACTGTGATTTCATTGGCTCATAAATTCGACGCTTATGACTAATTATCTGTGGATAATATGATTGGTGGAAGTCTCCCTTTCTTGTTGCATAACCACTTCAACCTGACCTAATTAAAACTAAGACGAAGGATATTTGTAAAGTATGATAATGATATAACAACAATAACTACCTCAATCAAATGTCTACCTGAGTGAAATTAACAGAATAGGTGAAAAGAGACAAAAGAATAAAACTTGTGCACTGTGGTAAGTATAATTCCATTATGCGTAAATTTTTGTTTTGATAAAGTCTCACAGTGTTATACAGTAATGTTTACTGATGACGTTTCGAGCACAATTTATTGCTCATAATCATATCAAGGTAGTCACACGACTTCCTAACTTCAGTTAGGAATAAATTGTGCTCGAAACGTCATCAGTAAACATTACTGTATAACACTGTGAGACTTTATCAAAACAAAAATTTACCCATAATGGAAAGAGACAAAGTTGAGTAACTTGAATTAACTTCAAAGCTGAAATTTTTATCCAGTCAAATTACTTCTCTTTCTTAATATTGAGTAGCCAGGTTTTAATAGTACTCTGTAGCTTGTTTTTATTAAGAAACATAACTTTGTAGAAAAATGTAATCTCTTCACAATAGAAGCTTTATTGGAAATTCTCCAAATATATGAAGAAAGCTACCGTGCCTGGGACAAGAGAATGAAGTGGACTTTACTTGTTTAGAGTTCAGAATGATGATTTCATACACTTCTTGTTAAGTGTAAAGAAATTAAAACAATGCGTACAACTTTTGTTTCAACCAGTAACTTTTTCGCGGGATTTAAAAATACACACATCATTGTTCACGCTTAGCCTTTTCACTCTCCTCAGCTGTTTGTTTCACATACTAACTCACTGGTTGCAGACTTTTGTAGTAGGTAAGTTTGGGTTTGAAACCAACAAGTCTACCCCGTAAAAGAAACAACAACACTGCTACTGAAACTTTATAGCTCAAGCATGAAGCATGTGTTGTTCCACTTGGAACGCGAAGGAATAAGAAAAAACTCCTCGTCTTTTCAACGCTAGAGAACACTCCGGAAAATAATTTATAAATAATCCACTAATTAATGGAGTCATTATGATAGTATACTGCACAATACTGTCATTTAGTGGAAGTCTATAAACAGTAATCTAAAATAAATCACTTATATGAACAGACTTGACTAGTTGATTAATATGATCTTTAAATTCTTCTCTCAAGAGTTGGTTTGTAAGGATTATATTTGTTTTTAGGAATTTGACCACGGATCGATATCAGTTATAGAAGCATTAAGTCGGGTCCCAGTGGCTGAAAGGTATACGAGCTTGCCTTGTAACCGGGAGGTCCTGGGTTCGAACCCCAGTGGGTGTGTACTGTCAATGATTCCCAAACTAGGATGAAACAGCAGCTGTCCAGTACTCCCTGGTTTTCAATGGTTCTCTAACTGATATCAATCCGTGGTCAAACTCGTAAAATTCTTCTCTATCAAATCTACCTAATTAATAATACAAAAGTTGATCAGTTTAACACTTTATGACGAATATGTATTTATTTATATATGTATCTATGTTTGTCCTCTTCTTCTTCTTTTCTGGTGTATACAAGTACCAAGTCGTAATACGCACATATACTGCACGAAGTCAGTGTACACATAACGAAAGTAGAGGAGTACAAATGTTTCTTTATTACAAGTAATTGTCAGAAATTCATCTGTTATATGCTTAGAACGTTATTCAAGCTAATTTTAGGCCTACCAATTCACTTATTTCCTTGTTGAAGACAACTAAAATAATATGTAAAGCTAGTTTAAATAAAAAGGATATTGATTTCTAAAGCTTCCTTTGCATCAGAATTATATATATATATATATATAATTCCATTAAAAAAGTTCTGAAACTGTCAAAAGAAATAGACTTTCAATTTGATAGTTTGTTGGCTTAAAGGTATGTAATTTTAATAAATATATATAGTAGAGAAAGACACGAAAAGAATAAGCAAGCCTACAATCTTGATAACTAGACTTCTTTGGATTGTTTTTCTAACATTAGAAAAGTTTCGTCTTAAACTCTAGCTTTAAAAAAACATTATGCTCTGCTAATTTTGTCTTCTTTTTGTCTTAGTTTTTAAAAATAATAAATAGTCTTTTGACTGTAAAGTATTTTATTATTTAGAAGCATTTCTACATTGTCTAAGGTGAATGATTCAGCATCATAGTAAGGACTGTCTGTCATTCATGGTAACATTCTCTGTGTTAATTTCACTATGAAGTAAGTTATTGGAATTTCTTCTCTAAGTAGTTCGTCTTGATGAAGTGAAGATGAAGTACAGATGAAGAGACTGTCTAAAATGTCAGCAAATTTTACCCACACCTAAACTAATGAATTAATTCAATTCATAACATCGCCAAATATTATTCTACTGAGTAACATATACTCTAACATGACTAGGCTTATTTGAATAGCTGTAATTTATTGCTAGTGCTGTTTGTGTCATTCATTTACTTAAGCACATGGAGTATGAGTCAGTGGATTCGAAAGTCATAGAATGTTATTGTCTGCCTTTTACTTCCAGTACATGTATCTGTGGTAGCAGTTACATTGGAAGGATAGAAAGAAGGGCACACTTTCGATTTTTTGAACATGTACCAAAAAAAAGTAGAAGTCTCAAGGGAGAGAACGCC